CGGGGGGACATGCTTACAAACGACTCCAGCCAAATTTGGGCAGTGGAGATGGCAATTTGACCTTTACTGCAGCGAAAGTTCTAAGCGGCAAAAGTAGCCACGTTCATTTTTCATATGTTGAGAAGATCGATTGCTAAGGGTGCCCAAGGCAAAATGGAAGAGCATAAGAGGAGGCCCATCACATAGTTTGGGTCCAAAAGAAGCCCCGTCTAGTCCATTTCGAGGAGCCCGGTATCTACCAATGGTGGAGTTATTTCTATAGGCATATAAAAAATTAAATCGCATATAATAAGCAAAATAATTTGCAGAGGTTTGGTGTGCTTAGGAAGATGAATCCAAACTTTTGTGAGGTAATAAAGATTTGATTTACCAAAGACAAGAGAGACTTTTATTTAGGTATGGAAAGTGCTAGGACTTAATGAAAGGAAAATGACCGGCTCTCTAGAATGACGGAGAGACGGTCAAAGCTAAGCCACAAGGATATTTTTTAGGAAACCGGTAAACTTGCTCAATCGGTTCCAAATTTGGACTCTACGTTTCCTTTTTTTTTTGGGAGACTTTTATAATTCTTTATTACAAGCTCAAATTGATACACAAAATTGTAAGAAACAAATTGAAACCGGTTGATATATGAAGAAACAAATCAAATGTATCATATTCAAAAACATAAAAAAATATATGAAAAACTCAGTTTTAACTTTTAAAATAGTGGATATTATTCTCCGGTCAAAGAAAAAGATTATGTGGATATTGTTCCCAAATAAAAAAAAACTTAATAACTCAAAAAAAAAATAGGAATGTACTTATCTTGTACACTTTGTACTTCCGATTATTTTAGGATTTTGTAATTGAATAAGTTATAACTATGGAGAAAGATTTGTTCATTTCTGCTAATTCATCATTTTTATTTTGATCTTTTCTTTACTTCATTATTTGTGGATGAGAAGCTAGTTCATTGCACAATGATATTGTTATTAGTTGCAAATCCAACGTTTCCAGTGCATTTTCGTCTTTTAAATTTAATAGATATATATATATATAATGACATTAACGATTTCTTTTTAGTAAGTGATGATATTTTTCTACTTGTAATTATTTATATTTTGGTATCTAATTTATTTTTTCTTTCTTCATATTCAAGAACATTGATTTTGTGGGCCCTCTTATGATTTTGTCTCTCAATTTAAGCTTGCAATAAGAAAACATATAAGTAAAAAGAAAAAAGAAAAAAAGAGGAAGTTCATGATTTCCTCATAAAAGTCTTGTGGCTGAGCATTGATCGTATACCTGTCAAAATGGGTCATAAACCCATTTTTTAACCAATATATTAGTAAATGGGTCATAAATGGATTAGTTATATTTAGTAAATGGTTCATAAATGGGTTTAGGTATAATATGAGTGTTAAATGGTTCAAAATGGGTCGTAAATGGGTTTACAACTTATTTAAACTCAATTCAACTCTCTCGCCCTCACTCAATCTCGCGCAAACTCACTTCGCACTTTCATATCAGTTTAGGTATGAGTTTTCCTAGATTTATAACCATTCTGTTCCGGAATGAGTTCCTGAACCAGAAATAGATTTTTCTATTTCTGATTCCTGGATGAGTTTCTGAGGAAAAAAACCCGTTTGATAACGACCAAAAATTTCTATTTCTAGAACAGAAACCCGTTTGATAACAGCACAAAATTTCTATTTCCTGAAACAAAAACCCGTTTGATAAACAACAGAAAATTCTATTTCCAGGAACAGAAATCCATTTTTTTAGAAATGGAATAAAAATAATTAAAAAATCCGAAAAATTCATAAAATCTCAAAAAAAAATCAGAAAATCCCAAAAAATTGAAAAATTTCAGAAAAAATCATCAAAATGTCAAGAAAATAAAAAAAAAATCAGATTTCGGGAAAATAGGAAATTTGTTGAATTTTTTTTAAAAAAAATCAAGAAATCAAAAATTTCAAAACTTCACAGAATTGCTTAGAATACTTGTAGCCACCCACTTTGAGTAAAATTTAAATTTTTTGAGGTGCCCAAAAAAATAAAAAAAAATTTCAAAATTTCACAAAATGGCTTAGAATACCTGTGGCCACCCACTTTTTAAGTAAAATTTAATTTTTTTGAGATACCCAAAAAAAATTTAAAAAAATGAAAAAATTCAAAACTTCACATAATGGCTTAGAATACCTGTGGCCACCCACTTTGAGTGAAATTTTAATTTTTGGAGGTGAAAAAAAAAAGCAAAAAATCAAAAATTTCAAAACTTCACAGAATGACTTAGAATACATGTGACCATCCACTTTGAGTGAAATTTAAATTTTTTTAGGTGAAAAAAAACATAAAAAATCAAAAATTTCAAAACTTCACAGAATGACTTACAATACCTCTAGCCACCCACTTTGAGTAAAATTTAATTTTTTTTAGATGCCCAAATGGTATTTTTTATTTTTTTTATTTTTTTTGGTTCCTAAAGAAAATTAAATTTCACTCAAAGTGGATGGCCACATGTATTCTAAGCCACTCTGTGAAGTTTTGAAAATTTTTCTTTTTTGCTTATTTTTATTTTTTTTTCGACACCTAAAAAAAATTAAATTTCACTCAAAGTGGGTGGCCACAGGTATTCTAAGCAATTATGTGAAGTTTTTTATTTTTTATTTTTTTCGGCACCTAAAAAAATTTAAATTTCCCTTAAAGTGGATGGCCACAGGTATTCTAAGCCATTTTGTGAAGTTTTGAAATTTTTTCTTTTTTTCTTTTTATTTTTTATTTTTTTCGGCAACTAAAAAAATAAAATTTCGCTCAAAGTGGGTGGCCACAGGTATTTTAAGCCATTCTGTAAAGTTTTGAAATTTTTACTTTTTTGCTTATTTTTATTTTTTTTGGCATATAAAAAAATTTAAATTTCACTCAAAGTGGGTGGCCACAGGTATTTTAAGCTATTCTGTGAAGTTTTGAATTTTTTTATTTTTTTTATTTTTTTCGGCAACTAAAAAAATTTAAATTTCATTCAAAGTGGATGGCCACAAGTATTCTAAGCCATTCTGTGAAGTTTTGAAATTTTTGATTTTTTGCTTTTTTTTATTTTTTTCGGCACCTAAAAAAATAAAATTTCGCTCAAATTGGGTGGCCACAGATATTCTAAGATATTTTGTGAAGTTTTTAAATTTTAGAATTTTTTATTATTTTTTATTTTTTTTGGCAACTAAAAAAATTAAATTTTGCTCAAAGTGGGTGGCCATAGGTTTTCTAAGCCATTTTGTGAAATTTTGAAATTTTTTATTTTTATTTATTTTTTCGGTACCTAAAAAGTTTAAATTTCATTGAAAGTGGGTAGCCATGATTCTAAACCATTCTGTTAAGTTTTGAAATTTTTGATTTTTGCTTTTTTTCTCACCTCAAATATCGTGACTTCCATATGAATATGTGTGTTGAAGAAAATGAATTCCTCGAAATGGTTCTCACTTTTGTTCCGAAATGAAAAACCAACTTTTTTGGTTCTCATTTCGGTTTTAATCGTTTTGGAAGAAAACTTGTCCCGGAAATAGAAAAATGAAATTGCGTTACCAAACGGGTTTCTGGTCCAAAACTGATTCTGGGAACAAAAAACCAGTTCTGGACAGAACCATAATGGTTTTCATGCAGCACCTTAATATCACGAAAAACCCCAAACTGGTACACCAGTGGCAATTTTACCCAAAACTAATTTTTTAACCATGAAAAACCCCAAACTGGTACACCTGTGATAAATTTACCCAAAACTAATTTTTTTACCACCAAAAACTCAGAACTGGTACATTTGTGACAAATTTACCCTCCGTTAGTTTCCATTAAATTGAATTAATATCACAAAAAATCATAAATTGATACGCCTGTGACAAACGAAGAGTAAAACATAAAATTGGTACATCCTCAATTGCCGCATATCATTTAACAAAGCAATTTGACACTAAAATTTAACGGAAATAAACTAATGGTAAATTTGTCACATGTATATCAATTTAGAGTTTTTTATGGTTAAAAAATTAGTTTGGGGTAAAATTATCACAGGCGTATCGGTTTGGGATTTTTCGCGGTATTAACCATTTAGTTAAATATGGAAGTGTTTTAGCAATACGAGTCGGGTCGGGTATAAATTGAGTATAGATCAAGAAAGTTGCATTGCACATAAATTGATCATAAACGGGTTAATGGGTCAATTTGGATCGAATCATTTGTGATCCGATCCAAACCCGACCCGACCCACCCATTTGACAGATTTAAATGACCGTCACTCCGTCATTCTACAGAGGACGGTCATGCTAGTCGCTTCCTTAATGAAATAGTCATGGAGCCATGGTTCCCTTGTGATGCTGGGTGAGTTGGAGTTAACTAAGAAGGAATTGAAATGAATTGGGAATGAAGAGGCTACGGTCTCGTGCTTTCGTCGATACGCGGAAGAGGTGGAAACGAATAAGAAGGAATGAGTAAAACTAACGTAGACTCGAAGCCTGCCGGCAAGCAATAAAATTAGAAAACAGATGTCCATATTAAGGTCATGGTAGAAAAGACGAGGATCGTCATAAAGTCGCAGCATACAGATTAAAATCACCAAAGCCAGCGCAGGTCGAGTCGTCAGCTCATAGTTTCAAGCCAAACAAACGTGAGGATGATACCTCACCTAGATTTGCAAAAAGATGAGTACCTAATCTCGATAAGCCGTCAACACAAGTTTGAAACAGCTTCGACCATGGACAAAAAGACATACTAGGGTTTCCACCTGATTTCGTTCACAGCATGCGCCTCCAAATCTCATCTGCTTCAGAAATTGTTGTTGTACCTACAAACACATTGTGCTTCCCCTTCTTAAGAGCATGACAAAGTAAAAGTTAACGCATATTTTCTAGCCTAATGGTTTCCTCAACATAAATGGAAATTGCCAAATATGTTTTACACACATTTGAGTCAAACATGCAGGCATTTTCGAACTCCAATTAATGCTTCTGCGTCATAGACTAAAATATTACCTGAGGAGATTTGCTCATTCTGCGCTTATCGGTCTGCCACTGCCAATATATATGTTGGATTCCCTCTCCTACTGAAGCCTTTCTTCCCTCTCTGTAGTTCCATAACTCCGGGACGACGTACCTGCCGCTCGGATTGTACTCGTTCATCTCCAGCAAGGCCGTTGCAACGGCTGCATAAACTTCATCCCCCATTTCATCCCTCAGGCCTTTCAATTTTTCATCTTCATCGTCTATTACTTCCTGAAACAGAACCCAATCTCAATAAAGAGTATTTAGTCTCTTGAAAAAAAAAAAAAACAGCAGAACTGAAGCAAGAATCAAATCGAGAAGATGTAAAATGAAATGTCAGAATGGAACTAGTATATAAAATTCGAACGGAATGCTTCATGCTGCAAATCAGGGGGTGTAGGCACCAATGGATTAAGAGGATAGCTAACGCAAGAGGATTCACGCGCACGCTGGTCTATGAGACTAGCTCTATATGCATGTTGACATACCAATTCTATTGCCATGTACCCATGACTACATTAAGATGACAGAGAGAAGATATTATACCTAAATTCACTGAATGCAATGTCATCATGAAAGTAATTAAAGAAATTATTAGACCAAAATTAGAAATTCCAGCCCTCTAATCACTTCAGTGATGCGGGTGTATGTATTCTCGGCTGCTACTTTCTTATCGGGAGAGGATTGAAGACCTAGTATTGGATACAAGGAACCGGCAGTTACAATCATAATGCTCTAATTTAAGCTCAAACAGCGACTAGTACCATGAACCCATAGTCATGAATTTAAATTCTGGACTTTAGAGATTAAAGCTATTTAATTTCATGTCGGAGGAGATCTAATAAATAGTAAAAGCCATAATATGTATCACAGTCATACCTGATGCTTCCCTTGAGCCTCGATAACCTTGAAAGGATGCCATGAGGGGTTGTTCAAACGAGTCTGCCACAAGGAACATAGCATAGAAGCTCTTTCTTCGGCCAATTCCTCGTTTTTTCGTTTCAGCACTTTTAGGAATGGATTGGTATCAAGCTCACCCATCTTCTTGATATGAATATGACCACTCGATATTTTGCTAAATGCCTACATTATGAGTTGAGAAATTCATATATTAAAGTTTCTGAATCTTGAAATGAAGGAAAGAAAGAAGGGAGGAAGTTACATAGATCAACTCTTTCCGAGCTTCTAGCAGTTCATCCTTGCTCCGGCTCTCCATGTTGATGAGAGCGAGATTAAGCTCTTCTGTATCCTGGATCATTTCTTTCTTTTCTTTCAAATCCTCGAGCACAGCTCCCAAACGTTTCAGAAGTTCAGCCTCATCATGCTTCATCACATCGATCCTCCCCCTCAGCCGTTCGTTTTCCAGTTTCAGTGCCTGATTCTCATCGACCAGACCTTCCAAATGGCTGTTAGAGCAATTAAAGGCCAAATCTTTAAATTTATTATCCAATTCGAGGTCCTTGAGAGATTCATCTCCCTGTTTGTCCATTTCAGACCAAATCTGTTCTGTAGTCAAGACACATATTCAGTAGTCAGTAGCGTACAGATAATTACCAATTAAAATTTTTGAAAGCACAATTGATAAAGTGTACCGTGGTTTACATGGATTGTGCACCATCGTGTGTGATTTCAGCACAAGAAAATTCAGTTTGCAAATGCTATAGATGAGAAATGTACATCCTAAATTAATGTAAGATAAAGACCTTTAACAGAACGAAAGTGGAGATTCAGATTCAGACATAAAGTAGCAAACGACTCGGTTCGCCAAGAGTGACATGTTTGCTGGATTCGTTCTCAACTGTGGCTCAGAAAGGAAGGGGTTGAGATTAACATGACTATAACAAAGATAGATCAACTGATACTTCGATGATAAGTCTCCAAGGATCAAGCTTCAATATCTATTCGGACAAATTAACATATAAAACAAACAGACCAAAATCTCGGCAAATTAACTCATTTGTCTAGAATTATTGAGTACCTCATGCAACTAACAATCTCTTCGTAATGCCAATAGGTCGACTGCAGGAAGTTATCAGTCCACTGCTAAACTTCAGATCTAGTTCATCCGCCTTCTATCTACTTGGAAGGATCATTTCGTACTTCTTAATCTTCCTCACATGTAACAACAAAAAATGCCCAAAATGAGATATCTACTCATTAGGAAATTCTTCAAAGGGTAATGAATGTTTGTCTCACTGTTAAGTCCGGCTATGTCACGCATTATATCCCTAGCATTTAACCCGCGAGCCGAGTGGTGGCGATATCGTTCAAGTGCGCAACACTTTACAGGCATGTTAAAGGTAAGGAGCTATTTGAGTCCCGAATACTCCTAGATATACTAAGACGGGTCTACAAAAATGGTTTCCTGAGTGATGTGCCAGACTGCAAGTGGGTATTTAAACAAAAGGGCCACCTTCGACTGGCTGATAACAGTCCCTTACGTCATTGGGTAAACCAGTTTTTGTAAATTTTGCATTTCTCTTATGTTCTTATAGGTTAACAAGTGGAGATATTTGACATTTTTTAGAAGGGTTCAACTTCATCTTCCTCTCGAGGAACGAAAAACATTTGGGTAATGGACAATCACTCGGTTTGGTTGCAAATTAAGAACCAGAGACTCATGATTTAGTCATCTCAGTTAACTTTTCTTTGGCCCAGAAAAACAAAAAAAGAAAAGGAAGCAAAAGCACATGATCATGATCACGAACATCGGCACAAAACAGATGGTGCCTGAAACCTAACGAGCATCACCGCATGAAAACGAGGGATTCTCTAATACTGATAGCGAAGTTAGGCATTTCACCTTTGTGTTGCGACCTGCGAGCTGGTATCTCTCTCTCTCTCCTTGTTCCATCTGAAGAAGAATGTTGCGTTTCACGTTGACGGAAACCCCAGGAGGAGAAACAAATGTGACCAGAAAATGGAACGTCCGAAAGGCCTTCAACCGAGGAGTCTCGTGGTGGAAATGTGAAAAAAGTTAAATAAAAAACTTAATGTCTATCTGTGCAAGGAAAACTTGTGTTCAATCTCACTTTTAAGTTTTTTTTTTTTTTCAAATTCTGCAACATTCTTTAAAGAGCAGAAAAATTATATCAGCAATCTTAAGCGATTAGTCCAATATGCAATCAAATCCAAATTGTCTGATTGTGCACAATCTCGTAGACCATAGGCAACATCCAGCCGGCCCTTGCTGAGAATACACGATGCCTCATCGAGTTCCGAGGGTCGCCAACCGTCGTCGGCAGTGGAGTGGCTCCCCATGATGCCTCTCTCCACTTTGATGACATGATCATTATTGGTTAGGACGCTTCCAATATTTTGGTTCTTATATGGTACTTGAGTAAGCATTATGACATGAAAGATCTAAGCCATTATTTTCGAAGGATTGAGGTGTACAGTGACTTAGGCTCCATTTATTTTGGAGAAAATCTGACGGTTTTGAAAAATATTTTCCAAGAAAAAATGACAACATTTTCCTGTATTTGGCTCGACCTCGATGAACTCAGGTGCGGCGTTAAGGATCCGAGTACCGGCACCGAGGGCTCGGGCATCAAAGACCTGGCCCTCGATACCGGGGACTCGGGAACCAGCATTGAGGTTTCTGTGCCCAAACGAAGAGTTTCAGGTTAGGTATTAAAATGTATAGTCATATTTTGAAGGGTTAATACCACGAAAAACTCCAAACTGGTAGACTTGTGACAATTTTACCCCAAATTAATTTTTTGACCACGAAAAACCCCAAACCGGTACACTTATGATAAATTTACCCCAAACTAACTTTTTGACCACCAAAAATCCCGAACTGGTACATTTGTGACAAATTTACCCTCTATTAGTCTCTATTAAATTGAATTAATACAACAAAAAATCATAAATTGGTATGCCCGTGACAAACGGAGGGTAAAACATAAAATTGATACATCCATCAATTACCGCGTGTTATTTAACAAGGCAATTTGACTGTAAAATTTAACGAAAATAAATTGAGGATAAATTTGTCATAGGGGTACCATTTAATGTTTTTGGTGGTAAAAAAATTAATTTTTGGGTAAAATTATCACAAGCGTACCAGTTTATGATTTTTCGCGGTATTAATCCTATTTTGAAAAACGATTTCTGATTTTTTAAAAATGAAATCATTTTCCTGAATTTAAATATAAGTTTTCCGTTCAGTCATTTTCCTAGATAGACCAAACGTCAGAAAATGAAAACATTTTTTCTTGAAACATGCTTTCTGCGAAACAAGTAGATGGATACTATCTTACTTAAGCCAAATTTGCTTCTGATCTTATTTCTCGTGCCTGACTAACGGACATCAAGATCGCTTCAAGGCCTCACGACCAAATGCCAAGTTGAATACCCGTAGTTATGCGCGTTCCGTACCACCTTAGCACTGTCTTCTCTTTACGATAATAAGAGTGCTATAAAGATTACCCACAATATGAGGCACGTTTGAAAATAACTGTCATTTCATTCAACGACATATCGGACGTGACACTATCCGTATGCTCCATATCTTCTATGTCAATCGAGCAGCTGAGCAAAATGGACACAAACCATGGAATCAAATGCTCAGATGAAGAAGTTGCCTCCACACTAAGGTGTCTAGTGGAGCCAACCCAGAACATACAGCATAAGCTTCTCATTATTTTAGTCCTATTTGTACCTTCGACCATTATCCACCGAAGATTATCTAATGCTCTGAGTATTTATTTTTTATACATCTTATTGCAATAAGTAAGTTACTCCCCTTATGTTACGAAGAATGGAAAGAAAAGAACAATTTCAATGGTTCAATTTGGAATTTTATGGGACACTTTTAACGATCTTGTTCCAATCTGAAAATGGTCAATTCCTTCTAATTTCACTTTTGATTGATTTTGTAAATTTTCTTGTATGTTGTTGCAGGTTTGTAGTTCACCTTTAAATTTGATGTGCATACCTTGCTCCATCTACCGTAAGGCTCCAATCATAAGGATCCACATGGTGGCATGCGTGGTCCCCATAGCTACTTCGACAGGAAATACTTTTTCACAAACAATGTTAGACCAATGACTTATATGCTTTTGATAAATAATAAAGGTAAACAAACTCATTTCTCACCGACCTATGGAGGGAAAAGTATCTTGCCTAGGCTCCGTTTATTTCATGAAAAACGAATGATTTGAAAAACATTTTCCTAACGATGATTGCCTGTGTCACTTATAAGAATGAATGGACGGGAATTATTTTCATCATTTATTAAAATGTTTAGACATAAATTGCTGTCCTTAGTAGAAATATTCTTCATTGACTAATTATTTCAAACGATACAAATGATCATTCTTAGGAAAATATTTTCTAAATCATTCATTCTTCATTAAACAAACGGAGCCCTAAAGAATGACTAAATTTCTAGCCTTCCGTTAGTGAAATACTCATAGATTAAATATATAAATGTGCGTGCGCCTCAATATATCATTTATACCGGTCCATCTTCCACATTTTGCTATCTATGTTCCTTATGTCACTAACAAATGTTCAATCTATACGTAATTTGGCCAGCGTAGTAATGGAGCCTACGTTCCCTTATGATGTTGGGTGAGTTGGAATTAATTTAGATGGGATCAAACTGATGTAACTCGAAGCCTGCTAGCAAGCAATAGAATTAGAAAACAGACATCCATATAAGGTCATGGTAAAAAAGACGAGGACCTTCATATAAAGTCACAGCATAGAGATTATAATTTTCGAAAACAAGTGCAGGTCGAGTCATCAGCTCATAGTTTCAAGCCAAACAAACGCAAGGACGATACCTTACCTAGATTTGCCAAAAAACAAGAGATGAGTACCTATCTTGATAAGCGGTCGAAACAAAATGGAAACAGCTTCAATCGCGGACAAAAGCGCAGCGACGTGAAAATACTAGGATTTGGACCTGATTCAGTTCACAGCATGCTCCTCCAAGTCACATCTGCTTCGACGATTGTTGCCCCTACAAACACATTGTGCTTCCCTTACTTAAGAGCACAACAAAGTAAAAGTTTTCGCATGTTTTCTAGCCTCATAGTTTCATCAACATAAGTGGAAATTGCCAAATGTGTTTGTACACACATTAAGTCAAACACGCAGGCGCTTTCGATTTCCAATTAACTCTAAGTGAGCGACTAGATACTAACCTGCGGAGACGATTCATCTTGCGCTGATCGGTCTGCCACTGTGTCAGTACATATTCGATCCCCTCTTTTAGTGAAGCCTTTCTTCCTGTTCTGTAGTTCCACAACTCCGGGACGACGAACCTGCCGCTCGGATTGTACTCGTTCATCTCCAGCAAGGCCGTTGAAATGGCTTCATAAACTTCATCCCCCATTTCTTCCCTCAGGCCTTTCAGTTTTTCATCTTCATCGTCTATTACTTCCTGAAACAGAACCCAATCTCCATAAAGAATGTTTAGTTTCTCTCAGAAAAGAACAGTAGAAACGAAGCAAGAATGAAATAAAAAAGAAAAAAAATGAAGTGTCAGAATGGAGCCAGTATATAAATTCAAATGAAAAGTTTCATGCTGCAAATCAAGGCGTGTAATGACTAGAGGCTTAAGATCACTAGCGCATGAGGATTCACGTGCTGCTCTATGAGACTCACTCCATAAGCACTTTAGCAAACCAATTCTACTCCCTTCAAATGACAGAGATAAGATACCATACATAAATTCACTGAATTTAATGTCATCACAAAAATAACTATATAGAAGAAATATTCATAGACCACAATCAGAAGTTCCGGTCCTCTAATTACTTCAGTGACGCAAGTGTGTACATTCCAGGTAGCTGTTTTATCATTAGGAGAGAAGATCAAAGACCTTGTATTGGATACCACGAAGCCACCATAGCACAATCATAATGCTCTCAATTAAGCATAAACAATGACTAGTACCACAAACCCATAGTCATGATTTTAAATTATGTATTTTAGAGGTTGAAGCTCTTTGAAATCATCTCAGAGGCAGATCTAACACATAGTAAGTGCCATGACATATATCAAAGCCATACCTGATGCTTCCCTTGAGCCTCGATAATCTTGAAAGGATGCCATGAGGGGTCGGCCAAAAGCTTGTCCCACAAGGAACACAATTCCAAACCATCTTCTTCAACCAATCCATCTTTCTTCTGCATAGACACTTCAAGGAATGGCCGGGTATCAAGGTCACCCATTCTCTTTATACCAATATGGGCACCCGTTATACCTCTAAATGCCTACACAATGGGTTGAGCGATTCAAGTACGAAAAGTTTCTGAAACTTGAAATGAAGGAAGGAAAGAAGTAAAGGAAGTTACATCGATCAAATGTTTCCGAGCTTCTTGCAGCTCATCATTGCTCCGGCGCTCCTTGTAAATGAGAGCGGTATTCAACTCTTCTGTGTTCTGGAGCGTTTCTTCCATTTCTTTGAAATCCCCGAGCATAGCTCCCATACGCTTCAAAAGTTCAGCCTCGTCATGCTTCATGACATCAATTTCCCCCCTCAGCCGTTCGATCTCCTGTTTCAATGCCCGATTCTCATCGACCTGACCTTCCAGATGGATGTCCTCTTGCCTCTGAATTGAATATACGACCAATACACATTTGATTTCATGAGTTCAATTGCTCCAATGCAGGAAATTACTCTATACAAATGGTAATGCACCAATGTCAGTCACTTCCAGAAAATAGTGAAGTCACTTACACTTCTTTTTCGCACCTCTTGCAAGACAGTTCTCCGAGAACCAACTTGTTGCGACGTAGAGTTTCCATGAATTATTAGAATGCTTCGCAAGCAATCATATGCACTCTGTACTTTCTTCATCTCTATATAAAGAGAGAACAATCACATCAATTGATTTTAATATACCCATGCAGAATAATAAAAACAAGAAAAATAAAAAAATGGCAAGAGAAATTCCGCACCCTCCTTTAACTAATAACCTTGCTTTGATGTATCTAAAAGATAGAAGCATGGTGCACACCTTCATTATAAGATTGCTCGAGCTTTTCTTTCTCGGTAATTAAGTTTCTTAGAGAGTTAGAAGTCTGCCTTGATTTTTCTTCCATCTCTTGCAATTGTATGTTTTTAAGCTCTAGTTTCCTCTCCAAGGATACAAGCTCTTCCCGCTTCTGAGCATCCTTGTCTACTATTTCAGCGATAGTCTTAAGGTCTCCGATCTCCCGTAGTTTTTCTCCTATGATACACTTTGAGTTGTAGTCATCGGCACGAGCAACCCAAGCATAAGTGCCTGTTTTCCTTTTCTTGCTGGAATACCAATCCTTCCGTCCATGATGATCTGCATCATAAGCCCTCTCAAACAACAAGGCATTGCAGAAACCGAGCCAATCTTCGCCAAATTCCACAACAGCGATTTGGGATGGGTTTTGGTAGTCACACAGTGCTTGAACTCTAATGAAACTGAAACCTTTCCTATGCAATTCACCTGTCACTTGGGTTTTACTTTCTTTAACGCAACACCTCGTCCAAACCTTTTTAGGTCGAGTATCCACAACAATCCCCATCCAAGGCCACACAAACATTTGGTCATTGCAATAGTTGACAGGAGTATCGACTGGCAGTTCAATCACATTTACATTCTCTTGATTTGCTTCTGAATCTTCCTCCAAAGAAACACAAGAGTCCTTTTCTTTTGCATACCTCTTCTTTGAACTATTCTTGGTCACCACAGAAGCATGCCGGAGGTCTCCTTCATCCACACAGACTCGCTTTCTCTTCTTCCGGTTGCTAGAGAATGCAAAGGCCAAATCTTCACCATCAAATTCCACATCCTTATGAGATGGATCTCCCTGTTTGTCCATTTCAGATCGAGTCGTCTCTGTTATCCAGACACATATTCGTTAGTCAGTAGCATAAAGATACTTCCCAATTAAGATTTATATAAATATAAGCGACAGAGTTTACCATTCTGTCTCTTCTTCCGTTTGTAAAAGGAAGTACTGACCAACGGAATGTCACTTTCACTATCCGGTTCTAGATCCTTGTGAGATTGATCTCCCTGTTCATCTGTCTCAGACTCACTCATCTCTGTACAAAACGCAAATAAGACATTTCTCATCTTCCGGTTGTTTGAGAAAACAAAGACTAAATCTTCAAATTAATCAATCAATTCCAGATCCTTGTAAGATTCATCCCCTGTTTGTCCATTTCAGATCAAGTCTTTTTTATAATTCAGACACATACTCAGTAGTCAGTAGCATACTGATCATTGCAAATTAAGATTGTCGAAAACACAATTGACGGAGTGTATTGTGGTTTCCGGGGATTGTGCACCATTGTGTGGTTTCACCATAACGATATTCAAGCTATTGATATGAAATGTACATCCTAAAGTAACGTAAGATAAAGACCTTTGGCAGAATGAAAATGGAGATTCAGACTCAGGCAAAATAGAGTAGCAAACGACTCGGTTCACCACGAGTTTGCCGGATTTAGTCTCCAACCATGGCTCAGAAGGGAAGCAGATGGGACTAACATGACCGGGACAGATAATGATCAACCAAGACCTTGATAACAAGTCTCTAGATCAAAGTTCAATATCTATTCGAAAAACAAAAACATATAAAGTGAAATTGACCATAATCTCGAGCAAATAAACTCAATTGTCTAGAATTATCAAGTACCTCATGTAACTAACAATCACTTCGTAATGCCAATCGGTCGATTTACAAGGATATCAGTCCACTGCTAAGCTTCAGATCTAGTTGATCCACCTTCTATCTACTTTGAAGGATCGTTTCATACATCTTACTCCTCCTCACATGACCAAAAAAATGCCCCAAATGAAGTTACCCACTCACTAGGAAAATTCTCAAAGGTTCTGTCTCGTTGTTATGTCACAGCTTTATATCCCTAGGATTTAACCCGTCAGCCGAGTGGTGGCAATATCGTTTAAGCGCGCAACCGTATGCTTTAAAGGCATGTTAAAGGTGTGGTTAGATATACTAAGACTATCTAACCAAACTGGTTTAGTAAGCGACGTGCCAGACCGCAAGCGAGCACGTAAACAAAAGGGCCATCTTCGACCGCCTGATATCAGTCCGTTACATCATTTGGTAAACCAATTTCGGTATATTTAGCATTTCTCTTATGTTTTCATAGCTTAACAAGTGGAAATATTTAAGACATTTCTGAGAAGGGTTCAACCATGTCATCTCCCTCTCGAGGAACGAAAGACACTTGGGTTATGGACAAACCCCTCCGGTTTGGGTTGCAAATCAAGAATCAGAGGCTCGTGTTTCAGTCATCTCAGTTACCCTTTTCTTCGGACAAAAGGAAAGGGAAGGAAAAACACACATGATCGTGATCATACGGCACGAAATATGTGTCGCATGAAACTTCACGAGCATCATCACTACATGGAAACGAGGGTGTCTCTAGCACTGACAAGCAAAGACAGGCAGTTTTACCTTTCTGTTGCGACTTGCGGGTTGGTATCTCTCTCTTCGTTCCTTCTGAAGAAGAGTGTTGCGTTTCACTTGGTTCTTGTAAAGCAGAATCCGAGCGGAGGAAGCCCTAAACGTACAAAAGAAGACTCGATGAGTCTCTCCGTGGTGAAAAGCTCTGCTAGCTTTTTTTCGATAACGACAAAAGCAAACAGCAGTTTTTCGTTTTCGGCAAAATTCGAAAAGTTATTGGAAGGTGAAAATAAAATATGAAAAAAATTAATGTCTATATACTTAAGGAAATGTTATTTAGACGGTTAAATAATTTGATTTTTTTTTTGTTCTGTCCTACCCTAACTCTCAATTCATTCTCAAAGTTTTATCTTACTTCTTTATAAAACGTGGAAATCGAACTTCACACTCCTCACTCTCAATCTTCCTGAAGTGATGGGGTGTGACATTCCGAAATTCCACCAATTGGAATTTATTGAATAATTGAGTTTTATGAGATGTGCTCGCAGTAAATTCTCGCCCGGAACTGATCATTCCTGGGAATGCTAACCATTAGGAAAAGGCTAATAGGGGAATTAAATTCGCGCGACTAGAGAAAATTCGATTGTGAATGGATTTCGACCATTAAATCGCGTAAGTGATATTTTGAGCCACTGTTGGCCGATCCAAGGATAGTTAGGGATCAGTTCGCCACTGTTCTAGTAGTGGATCGCGGGTGATTCTGTTGGACCACGAAGCGACTTGACGAATGATTCCAAAATTATACCGAACGATCGTACCCCTCGGATCAAGTGATTGATCTTTGCGATTTTAATGACAACCGAGGTCGTCACGTACCGAACGGACTTGCACATGACTCGATTTAGTATCGGTCATGAGTCGATTTCACGAATTTCCCACAAGCGCCCGTTAGCTCGAGAAACGCTCGAGTTGCGTTTAATAGAATTTAATTATTGAAATTTTGCCCAAATTGGACACCGGAAAATTAGGAAGTCATGACGGAACGCCAGGACGACGTTGCACGTGACACGTGTGAATTTTTGGTGCGCTTAAATCCTTCGGAAAAATTCGATTTGGGCAAGAAACGGAGAATTGGACCATTTTACCCTTGAGTATTAAAGAAAAGGTAATTTTAGGGTCAATGGACATTTTGGTCATTTGTGCCCTAGATATTTTGGGTCAAAGCTCGAAGAAAAAGCTAGACCATTCTTTCTCTCCCCTCATTTCTTCTCTCTCCCCCATCGTGAAATTTTCCCCCCTCCACCGTGAGACTTCTCCCTCTCCACCGATCACTCTCCCTCTCCCTCCGCCGTTCACCGCCGCGCCCCAAGCCGCCGTCCATACGTCCGCCGGACCGCCGCCGCGCCCAAGCCGCCGTCCTCACCGCCTCATCCCCACCCAACCGTGACACTCTCTCTCTCTTTCCATCTCTGGCTGTGGGCCCTCTTAGCCGCCGTGGACACCGCCGCAAGCCGCCGCTCGCCGATCGTCGCCGATTGTCGCCGCCGCCGCAAGCCTTCGTCGGATTTCAAGTTTTACCGCCGCTTTTGTTCTAGCCGAGAGAGTCTAGAACGATGTAAGTTGTGATCTAAACCCTCGCCTAGTAGATCGGGTTGTTTCGGGTTTAGATAGACGCGGGTTGTTGTGATTTTGCGGGCTAAGTTGAATTACGGGCCCTAGGTTTGAATTTCGAGGATTTTGGTGGAAAATTTGGGGCCGATCAATGCTGTGAATTGGGGTTTAGTGTGCTGTGGTGTGCTATTGGGTATGAGAATGGTCCCGTTGAGTCCGGCTCGGAGTTTTATGTAAGTATCGTGAAGAGTCGGAAGTGTGATTTTATGGTTTGAGTGCAGAAATTACTGTTCACGAGCTGTGGGTGTACTGTTCACTGTGCTGTGGTGAGTCGTTTGACGCGTAATTGGTGCCGTTAGGTCTGTCTTGGAATTTTATGTAAATCCCGTGAAGGGCTGAAAATGATTTGAAAGCATTTGAACAAAGAAAAATACTGTTTTACGCGAGAATGTGTTTTTGTGTGAAAATGGTGATGTGGTGAAGTGTGGGGTGCAAGTGTGCACGGAATTTGAGGCAATGGCATGAGAAAGTGAGTTGGGATCGGGCCGAGTATCATAAGCTCGGGCAACGATCATGTAGGTCTGTTGCATTTGGCACGGGCTGAGGCTCGAAAGAGCATGATTGAGTTCGGTCCGAGGCACGATCAGCTCGGGTGAGACCGGGATTGGACCGAGGCATTATAAGCTCGGGTTCCGATCATGTAGGCCTGTCGCATTTGGTGCGGGCTGAGTATTGGTCGCAGTGTACCTGAGGCGTGTACGTTTACGCGGGTCACTGGCGAGTGATGTGGGAAGTAATGAGTGGTCACAGTGTACCTGAGGCGTATACGTTTACGCGGGTCACTGGCGAGTGATGTGGGAAGTAATGAGTGGTCGCAGTGTACCTGAGGCGTGTATGTTTACGCGGGTCACTGGCGAGTATTATGGGAAAGGAGAATTGAGAATGGAAAGAATGAGAAAGTGGAGGTGGAATAGGCGTATGTTGAGTGGATCGAAATCGTGTTATGTTCGTTGGTGAATGATTTGTGGAAAATTTGTATGTTGTGTCTTGTGTTTTCAAAATAAATTTTTATAGTGGACTAATGTGCAGGCTGCGTGTGTCGAGAGTCCAGGTATGTGTATTCGTGTGTTTTGTGGTGGATTGATTGGTTATGAGCTTATCTATGTCTGGAATAACGTGATAGCCTAGGTAGGGTTTAGGTTACAATTTATTGAGAAGTGTCTCATGATTGTATAAACCAAACCATTTCAGATCCCCCGCCTGAGCGATGAATATTCCGCCGCCGCCACCAGAACGTTTCGGAGCCCTCAGTAGATGGGACGATACAAGGGGATTCCGACTCAGAGGACGAAGAATCGGATTCAGAATGGACGCCTAGTAAGGGGCGTAGGAAGTAATATCCGTTTAGAGGATGGGTTTTTGTGAGTACCATTTTTGGATGGAAAGTTGATCAGGTCATAGACCCTTTTTGTTACTGACCGTAGTAGTGTGGCGGGCACTTGTTTATATGGTGGCGTGTAAGTGTTGGAGTGGCTTTGTAATTGTAAATATTTTGGTATAAGTTTGGAAATGAGATATAGATATGTATATTCTCCCTTAATGCCTCCCCAATTTTTATATTGTCAGGGATTAATTGTAATATCCGCTGTGGTTGTAAATCTCTGATGATTATTTGAGGTCGGCGACATTCCTGGGACGTCGCACTCATCGACCAGGTAAGGGGCGTCAAGTGCCCATTGGGGTTCGGGGCGTGACATGGGGATTCGAACTTTCCGAGAAAAAGCACGAAGGTCTTCTTGTTCTTGGCATGGAAGGTGAGGTGGGAGCTGTTGAGATTTAATGGCAGTGACGGAGGAGTGGTGAGGCTCATAAAGAACAGGAGCTAATAAGACAGCAATGAGTAGGAAATTTTCTTTCTTTTAAAGAGAGAAAATTGAAATTTTTTTGAAGGGGTCTTAGGTCTTGATTCAATTGCCATAAAAAACATGTTTCTTTTTTTTTTTTTAATTTTTTTGACTAAATATGTACATATATAGGCTAATTCCAATTCAATTCAGTTGGTGACTCTTTCATAACACAGCACACATCATTCAGCTCCCCCCCCCCCCCCCCCAAAACAAGATTTGCACAGTAAATTGAATCTCATTTGGAAGCAACCTATGCGAAACGCTCATTCATTCGCTCGCTCTTCTCCCATCTCGCCAATGCCGGGTAATTGTTGTTTGGACCGGCCAACGACCATACAAGGTGATAGGATTGGAACTTTGGAACTTCGCCCCGCAATTTTGTGGCGTGATATTTAGCAAGAATTTATTTTGCAATGTAGGACATACTTGTCTGAGATCGTTCATATAACCCTGCCATATCTAAGCTTGTTAGTTATTTACTAAGGTACAGCTTTTCTTTTGAAAAAATATATTAAAAAAAAAGGTCGGGAAGGTAAATTTTGCATTGTGATGGTTTCACAAATTTTTAAGCCCTTCTTCATTTACGTGGTGACCGGATTGCACTTGCACGGCAGGCGGTTGGATTGCACTGGACAAGGCCGGGTGAGGGCCGCAACCCTCGCCGGCCCTCCTTCTCGGCCCTTGCTCACCGTGGTGGGGAAAAATAAAAGAAAAGAAGGAAGGAAAGGAAAAGAAAAGAAAAAAGAAAGGAAAAAATTAAAATTAATAAAAAAATTTGGAAATTATTAAAAATTATCCACGTCAGCGCCGGCCATGCCACGTAGGGCGGCCGGCATCCATATCGGCGATTTCCGGTCAAAATTGGCCGAATGAACTTATTGACACAAA